ATAAAACAAGCAACATCTATTACTCCTTGCTAATGTGAAGAAATGATCCATTAAAAAAAAATTGAAAAGGTTGGTGTTATGAAGTCATAGACTGGTAGCAGTTAACACACCCAAACTGTGAGCTCTTCTTGTCTGATTCTACTACTGTAGTGCTCAATTACCATCCTTAAATCAGTATTTTCTGGAGTTAGGTATTATACTGATATACAATATTGCTCCCTTACTGCTGTCCTACTTCTGATTTGTCTTTAGGCAATACATGTGGTATCTTCCGCAAAAGACATTTCCTGTAAACTTTACTTTCAGATTCATGTAAAATTTATTTTTCAGTTACTTTTATTAGAAATGATAGCTATGAGGTTTTTTTATATTTTGCTTTAAAGGATGGGAAAACCTCCTGGAGCTGAGGACACAGGAATGCTGTCCTGGCTTCCTGAGCTGGGTTGTTTTAATTGTCACTCCAAAAACATGGGGGGAATTTTCTGCTAGATAGGCAATGAGTACTCCATCTCTTCCATTTCCCCCTATTTTGTATTATTTAAGCTTTTAAAGTTATATGGCTTGAAGGTTAACAAAGGTTCGTAATGCGCCAGCTTTGGCAGAATGGAAAAAACCCAGCAACTTGTTTTTGCTACTGTAAGAGAAATAACAATTCAAACAATAATCAGATTAAACAGATAAAGGGTGAATCAGACTTCCAAAGGCAAAATCAATCTGATCAACCTGACTTGACCCTAAATAAGGTAGTGAGGGGATGAGTAAGTCAAAACAAACGTATCTTTTCATGTGCATGCTTGTGCAATTATTTTTTTAAGAAGTTCCTTTTAACAATATCAGCACCTTCTCCGGTCTGACTTGTCTGAGACTTTCCACTTATTTTTTCAGCATTCAGTCAATTCTGCTGTAAAAGTAATGGTTTGTCCAGAAGTGCAATCTGAGGAGAATCCCTTGGCTGCACTGTACTTTTACTGAATGTGAATATTCTAGTCTTCAAACTTGGTGGGCAGCACACACAAAATGTGATACATTTTGGTCCTGTCTCAGTATTTCTCAAGAGCTGCTCTTATTATTCACAGGTTTTCTATCAGACTAACTGATCACAGGCTTCCCTGAAACACACACGAAGCTAAAGCACGTTGGTATCTATTTTCTCAGAAAGAGACGTCCTCACAACAAAAAAAAAGTAAATGGCCCTGATTTCTGTTTATAAATGTTGTGGCAAGCCAGATTCACTCTTGGGGGCTGGAAGGTACTTGAGAGAAGTGTGTTATCCCACTGAGTTCCCAGTCAGGCAGTCCTAGTTTTAGCTCCTTGGGGAATACCATTATCTGTAGTCAGTTCACAAAATACTCCCATGGCATACAGCCTGTTGTGTCCTACAGAACGCTGCCAAAGAGGAATGAATTTCTCCTTTGGTAATGTGTTCCTTTCTTTGAGTTCTAATCCACAATCTGAACTTTCTGAAACATAAGGATGTTTCCTATGTCTGGTTTATGTGGTGTATGTTACTATCTTTTCTCTCCCTCACTGTTTTATTGTTATGTTACTAGCTTTGGTATTTTCATTAGTGAAAACGTCTGTCTCTTGTCTTGTTGTGTCTTTGCTGGCTGCAGAAAAGCAAGATGCATGTCCTGAAATAAACTGGAAAGGGATGCTGTCCTAAGATCCAGTAGTATTTATACTTTACACATACCAGAACATGGGAAGGAACTGCAATGGAAAAGACCACAGGAGGTTCCTACTCCCAAATTAATATTCCTCTAAGAACTTCTATGCAAATCCCCTGGAATCACTCTCATCAATGTGATGATAACATTATGCATAGATACTCAGAAATGCTTTGGGGAAGAAAAGAGAAAGAGGTAGATTTGGTGCTGGCAGAGCTTGTCTCACATGTTGAGGCAGTTTGTTCCCAAGAGCAGCTCCTGTTCCTACAGGTGTGCTATGAGGAACTTGTTATTTCATCGGGACCTTTAAGCTACAAATGTGTTCTTTAATTGAATTATGTATGTTTATTTAATATATAACTGGTTCCACATTGTTTCATCTCCGCATGAGCACTTACTCTGGATGACTAATGCCCTGGGACCTGAAGTTCATAATGGAAAGGCTGTCACACACATGCAATCTTATCTACCATAACACTATGCAAAAGGCAATTATATAATTAAAACATTTTAATGATCTCTATTGCTCAGTGGGAAGTTACAAGTCCCAAAGGAGCCAGGCCAAATTTGTTATCAAGGTTTATTCAGTCATCTCTTAGGAGCAGTAGGGCACATTTTGCTAAATATAGTTCATTTGCTAATATGTGCCATGTGTGGAGCATTGCACTGGGACCACTGTGCCACAGAGCTGGAGCGCAGTGCACCAGGAGGTTAGTACACCTTCTCCCTTTGGCTGGGACTTTCAGAAATAAGAGCCTAAACTTAGACTCCTAAAATCCATACCCAGACATTCACACAAATAGCCTGATTTTTTCAGAAGAGCAATACCAAGAAATTCTCTTCTACTAAAATCATAAAATAGGTAAAAATCTTACAACAACAAGAAGAAAGGATTTTATTATTTCTGGAAATAATACTCAAATATATGGCCAGATTAATGGGAAAAGAAGAGGGGAGACACAACTTTTGTTTACTCCTGCTTAATTAGTTATGGGGTGTAAATACAGTTTCTGAAAGGAAGTCACAAAACTTGGGAGTGGTACAGGAGAGACATCAACTATATGGCTAGGCAGTAAAAGCTGCATATGGTGTATTTTACAGAGTTGGGCAGGAACCTCTGTCACAATCTTAATCTCTCCATTCAGGTCTGAGATCCAAAAGCAGATGGGTGGAGAGTGGAAATCACTACTATTTAAACATCTTTTGGTCACCATCAGGACCATTTGCTGGTCTCATTCTGGTTCCCAGTAAACAGGTATTTACATGAGCAGGCTACAGAGCAGCAGGAGACTTAGCTGACAAAAATATGAAGTTGAAAAGTAAAAGTACTCAATCCAGTTACCTAAACTTAGGTTTAGGCACCGTAGCACCATCTCAGGCTATATTTGAGGCACTTGCTTGGGGCTGGCAAATACAACAGAGGAGCTTCAGGAGACTTGCACACTTGTGTAATAGCACCTGGGAGCCTGTGGCACCCAAAACAGCACCGGGCTTTGGGTCCTAAGTGTGCCCTTTTGGGTCCACTTCTGCTTCTTAAGTGGTCTAGTACAGTTCAAGATGTGTGTATGTAGGTCCTCAGTGGTAGCTGGCAGCTTCACAAGAGGTCTCAGGTGCTACAAGGTGCTTAAACGGCTCTAGAGCCCAGTGTGAAAGCAGCTGAGCCAAGCCCTGTGGATGGTGGGTAGCTAAACTGCTCAGGCACTGATGAGTTCATTAACTAGATCTTCATCAGCCAATGCAGAAGTTTAGACGCTGGGCTCACATGCAGGCACCTAAATGTGTCTTAACCCAGAGCCAAATGCCACCTGAGGTGACCATGCAGGACAGAGTAATGGGTGCAGCTGATGATCTCAAGCAGTAAAGCTGTGATGGTGGGGCATGTGTAAAGAAGCACAACCCCTGCCTGACTTCTCGGCTTCTCTGGAGGTTAGAGAAGCAGATTCTGTAGTTTTTATCAGCAAATAAGGTCCTAACAACTACTCCTAGCATAAAGAAAGGGGCCTCATCTTGCAGCTGCTGCTGGTTTTAACTGGGAAAGAAGATCATGGTGTAGTAAAGCCCCATGTTGTAATGGGCCTTAAGCAGCTTGTTATCACCTAAATACATTTCAAAGAGCAGTGGGCAGAGGGTAAAGGAGCAGCAGGTCAGATTTACCAGTTGAACATTTGCACTTTAGAAAATGGAATAACAAAGGATGGAAAGAACCTGGGTGGTGTCTGAGAGTGTAATTTTGTGCTTTAAAAACAATTCTTTAAAAATTCTAGGCAGTTTATATATATATATCTTTTTTTTTTTGCAAAACAAATAAGAGGCACTGGAGTTAGTAGCAACCATGTTTCCCCAGAGGCAAATATATTATAATGGAAATCAGGACAATGCCAAAACCAAGACAAGTTCAATAAACTGGATGGCTAAAAACTAAGAGAGTAATGTAGCCAGCTGGAAAGCAACCAAGGGAGCAGAGAAAAGGGCATATGAAAAATGACATTTTAACAGCTTCTTGTGAAGCCTCTCTGCAGGCTGTAGAGGTGATGATACACAAGAGAGACACTGAACTCCAACAGGTGAAAAAGCCTGGCAGCGAAGAGTGGGCAGGAGCTTTCAAGTAATTTTTAAGAGTAGAAAAAGCCCCCAATAGTTTTCTGTTTACACAACAGAATGCTTCTGATACTGACGCACAGGGCAACATCTATTTATAATCCAAATAAATCTTATGTTCTGGTATTTGGAACTATCAGCATTCAACATACTGGAAAGCAGCAGCCACAAGGCTTCATTAAGAAATGCTGTAATGCTGTTTTAATCTGCATTGTTTTGCTCTGTGTGTTTTCCTCTTCAGTCACTATCCAATCATGACTTGTGCAAAAGAAACAAATTTCTTTTTTTAAAGTTAGCTCATGTGGAGTTCATAAGTGTCCTGACAGGTAACCCCTAGGCAGTGCTCTTAATGCCCGCAAACTAAGCTCTTGCCTTTTTTTTTTCACAAGACCTCAAACTTTCCATGTGTCCATCAATACCTGTGATAGATGACATGCATGGAAGTATCTGCTTGGGTCCTGTCTATTTGCTGGCCATGTCCTGGCCCAAAGCTTGCCTCTTGTGTCCTTTCTTTTGGAGAGGTAAGAGCTGTGGTGAATGCCACAGCCTGCCAATCTGGGTATCAAGGCACTGAGATTGGAAGGGTGGGGGAACGGGGGAGCAGGAGTGATGATGATCATGGAGTCCATCTCTCCTGAAGTTTAGAAATGGTCAAAGAATTACATGAGTGTCAAGTGCAGACATACTGTAACAGCAGTATGTGTTTAGCAAGGCTGGTGGGGGCCGTATGTCTGGAAGTCCCATGTAGGAGGGAATCTCCCAGTCCTGGTTCTTTGTTCCCAGGGAGAAAGTTTGCAGAGATGCCAGTAAAGCAGACAATTAATTTTCCTTGCTAAACTGAAACTATTTTTGTGGAATTATCCAAACATAAAGGCTTCTCTGGTGTACGTTTTTCTTCCTAAATAATTTTTTCTTTCATTTCAGAATAGACTTTTACTCTGTCGATCTAATTTATTTCTGACAGCTGTGCTCATAGTCCAGCTATGGACAACATGCAACTCACCTAGAACAAGTTATTATCTGTTGTCAGCCACTAGGAAACAGTTCCCCAAAGTGTGCTGTTAGTACTTCAGTATGATTTTGAGGGTTTCTCTTTGAAGCCCTGGTGTACTTTAAATAACGGGGGATGAACTAAATGGCCTCTCAGGATCTTTTCCATCCTCATTTACGATGGTTCTGTGGATTTGTATTGGATTCACTTGTCAGAGTGTTTAAGCTTTTGAATGTTTGTCTTGCTGAACTGACAGGAAGTTTGCGGCTGACCTTTACGTCCTCTAAGCCTTCTTGGAAAGATGTATATGGGGAGAAAGCAAAGCAGCAGCTGATTATTCCCCCTTCATAGCTTCCCTCTGACCTGCTCCTCAGTCAGGGAATCACAGGATGCTCTATACTCAGTGCCTTTTGTGCCAGTGGGGGAGAGAAGGAGAGCATCAGGGGTTGGCCTGATTAAGATTCTCCCATTTCATTTATTATTCCACTGTCTGCCACAATGGGACCAGGTCACTCATTAGCTAATACAACTTGAACCTTTAACACTTTTGGATTCAGGTACAAGCTTATATTCACCATAAGCCTACTTACCACATAAACAGACCATGCTGTCATAATATATATTTATATTTTATGACATAGAAGTACAAACAAAAGTTAGCAAAATGTTCCTATTCAGAGCTTGGCATGCCACCATTTCAGACTTTGCTGCTGATTAATATTGTGTGCTACTTTGTAGGGAATAATTACATTGAAATAGTTGAAGGGTTACCAACTGTAGGGGAACCCATGGCTATTAACCTTTCATCAAATGTGGAATCCAATTAAGTACTCAGAGAACATGGTGTTATAGAATTATGCAAGTAGCAGATAGTGACTTTTAAAAGTGTTTTGATTTTTAAAAATGATGTGTTTCCTCAGTGTATGTTCTTTCACTGCGGACCCCTCAGTCACACGGAGAAGAAGAATGCTTAGACCAGCATCTGCAAGTCTCTGTGGCTAGTCCATAGCTCTGATGGGAGCAGTTGTGTTAAGACATAATATGATACCTGATAAATATCCAGGGTCACTGTCCTCAATTTATTTTCTTGCCCTCTTTAATCAAGCAAGATCTGTACTGGCTTCGTTAGGGAATGCTTACTAAATAGATCAAGATTCTGTTGTGAAATAAAGAACCAGCTTCTTTGAAACAAAGCAACTTAATTTAGGAATGTTTTGATATAAACCATGTTTGTGTGTATATATGGAAAGGACTATAAAATCATTGCATCTATTTTTTTTTCAATTTTAGTATTAAAAATCTGATATCTTTAAAAAATGAAGGCCTACAAATTAACTGGCTTTTGTAAGACCAAACCATTTTAAAGGGCCAGTTCCTTTCTATTTATACTTCTGCTTTTTAATGATTTATTTGCTTTTCTAGTTCTATTTATTTGGAGCCACAATAGTTTTTTACTTTCAGAGCATTACATGATGGGAAAAATCAGTTAGAGAAATTAAAGAAATAAACAGTTGCTAAGAAAAACATACCTGGTGAGGCAGATAATTATTTCATGGCTGTAATACTCTCCAGGGACGCTGCTTCCATAGTTGTTCCACTAAATGAGTAGGTTTCAGATAGGACTAGTCCTCACTGCTAATATAAGAAGCCATTCCTCATTATGAGAGGTCAGACTAGTACTGCTCTCTGAATACCAGCTCTGAAATGAAATTATCCAAATAAACAAACACCAGACTGAGTTCCTCTCATGCCATTGACTGGAAACCTCTTGGAGAAGGGCAGGGCCTGAAGGAAGCTGTTTGCTGTATTTTGTCCTCCATTTTATGGATGCAGATACAATACTGTGCAACATTAACTTTATGACTGATTCAATAGGGAATATATAAAATACATTGGAAAGCTGTCCTTTGTGTTGTAAGGAACGAATGGGCCTCCTAAATGACTGTGCTAAGATAATGGAAATGATATTCAAGGTTTAGCGTGCTGAAATGCGGAATGTCCTATTTTATTCTGTCCTGGCAATGCAGCCTGAGGAAACAAAAAAAGATGCCAGAAACACAAAGTAGCTTGAATTACTCTAGACCCCAAACCAGCTCAAAATTTCTAAGACATTCCAGGTTACCTGCAGTACTAATATCACATACCTATACCGGAAATGGCCAGTATTATTACAAGCATAACTATTAATTCAAATCTTGATTTTTGTACTTAAATTTGTCACTGTTTCAATTTATTCAGCTTAGATAGCAAAGAAAATTGCAGAGTTGGAGTGCATGGTCTTAATGTGTTTAACACTTGTCTAAGAAACAAGCAGACAGGAGAGTGTTAGTAAATGTTTATGCATTTCAGAAATGCCTTCTGCATCACATACTATGTACTCAGACTATGAATGTACATAGCAACAGAGCTGATTGAAAACAACCCATTTAATTATGTTGACGTATGGAAGGACACACTCTAAATGCAATTCACTGATGTATTTTACATGGAAAAGAATAAATAAATATAGTTAGAATAGTTAGAACAAAGAGTTAAAGACAAGAATGAAATCCTGCTGCCCTTGGAGCCAATGCATTATTTGTTCTTGCCAGCTCTAAGTCTTAATTCACACAGGGACATTAAACATAGCTGGGCAGCTGAGAGGAATGTGAGATGGTCCCCTCAGCAGCTCTCAGTCTGTAAGGGAGGCTGTATGAGATTATCACACCTCTGACAGACCCATTGGTTTCAAAGTCTCTTCTCATATAAATACAGTTGTAGATTTGTAGCAAATTCTTTAAAGATTTTAAAATAATTGTTCTGTGTGATTTATCTCTTAAATATAATACTACATATTTTCTTTTACTCGTTATTTGCATTGATGTTAACTATTGACATAGAATCTCAGATATCCTACAATGAAAAACTCCACAGTACATTGTAAAAAAATACCTAACTTGCATTAGTTAAGTTCCTATGGAAGGATATTTCATTGTAACCCTTTACGTCCATTCTTTGGAAATTATTGCTCACGCCACATTTATACTGGTGTTCTTGGTGGTTTCATTCAGGAAATTAAATTGAAAATTAAAATAGTATTCTTTCTTAGAAATAATGCTTTTATGTATAAAATCTGGATAGGAAGAAATTAAATTCCTCATGCCGAAATGCCAAAAGAGAAAATCCAACTCAACAGCTGGGCAAGGATGTTAATAGGTCAAGAGTATTTGAAAGTTTATCAGCGAATGAGATGCTGCCTCTGGAAAGTGCATTTTATCAATACCAGACAGCTAAAGCTGTGGCATGTCCCCGAGAGTAGCTGACTCGCTTCCAAAGTGTCTGGAAATGCCAGTGCATCGCTTCTGGTGGATACTTTCTTTCCAGCTTTTGGGTTCTCATGCAGATGACTGGCTTGGTGCAGAAAAGGACCACCTTATTCAGCTCAGGAGAGACAAGTCCTCCCCTTGACATGTCCTTAATCTCCCAATCCTGTGAAAAAATGTCCCGATAAACTATCAATCCCCACTGTCTAGCCCTTCCACCCAGGCTGAAACTTGCCCTACTTGCTCTGCAACTCACGTCTGTGCTTGAAGCTGACACGGGACCAACACGACCCTGAAATCTTATCGACCTCTCCAAACAGGGGCTGGGAGTTTGTCCGGTGTTGCCCCCTCCCCAGCCTTCCCGGTTTTGTTTTCCTTGCCGCCCCTTCCTCTCGTAAACTGTTTTCTAACGCCAGTGGCCCGGGGAAGCCTCTCCCCGGGAAGGGCGGGACGCAGCTAGTGCCCTTCGTCGCCGCCGGGGGGCGGCCCTGCACCGCGAATGGCCCGGCGGCGGAGCCGTGAGGTACCGCAGCGGCTCCCCCTGCAATCCGCTCCAAGACCAACTCTTCTCCCCATCCCGACTGTGCCGACCCGCTCCGCGGGGACGGTGACACTCCGTGCTTTAGCGCGAATGGTCCCGGAGGAGCCTATTCTGAGAGCGTTACGGGGCATGCCGTTCCTCACGGGTGCGGGAGCAGACCCTTAGGGCTCGGAGCTCCCTGGAAGCCCTGTCTGGCTCCGGCGGAGCGACCGTCAGGGGACCGTGTGTCCTGCCGTGTCATCGTCGGGCACGGCGCGCTGCAGATGCCGGACCGCGCCGGACGCCGCGGGCAGGCTCCCGGGAACAAGCGAGGGGAAACCCTCGGGGAGCCTCTCGCCAAAGAGGCTGCCCGGATTTGGAGGGTGCAGTTTCTTTTGGAAGCATACAGTTTCAGGCAGGGGGCACGGGCGTGGGTTTGTCCGCAGGGTGCAAAGGAGAAGGCTGTGGGGCCTTACACCCTGTCTCCTCTGGCCCGGGGAGCCGCAACTGCTCCGCTACCGGCGGTGCTAAAGCGACACACCTATATGCTGAGGGGGGTGGTTTAACTTAGGTAGGAGGCACAGGATAAAGGCCAGACGCACCTGAACTGTGTCAAAATGACTACGTTCTTTTTGCCCCAAGGCTGCCTGCAGCAGCACCGGCGCTACCCGCGCTTAGCTGCACGGCTGTCCCGGGGAACGGCCCCGGGGAGGGAGTCAGCGAGGGGGGAAACACGGGGACTACGTGGAAACCCCCGCTCGGGGACACCTTCTGCGCCGCCGTCCCTCGAAGCCATACCCAGAGACTCAGTTTTTCCACTGCCCTCCCGTGTCCCCCGCCTTTGGGAAGCCGAGGCGGGAGAGAAGAAGGGAGGGGGCGGCGGGCCGGGCCCCTGCCTCCGGGCGCGTTGCCGCTGCGGCCGCCCGCCTCATGCCGCAGGAATGCGCGGAGGTATGCGCCAGTTTCCAGAAGTGGATCCCCTTCCTTGCTGGAGCAGAGCAGCGCATATATCACCCGGTGGCAGCAGTCCACCTTCCCTGCAGTTTCGTAACCGCTTACGAGGGTAAATTGAGAGTTGGGAACAGCCCTCTATTAAGTAGCAGATTGAGAAGAGGTTCTTCCCACTTGGAGAAGGCAAGTCTTCCCAGACAGACCCCTCGCAACGGGAGCTACAGCAATCCAGGCGCCTCCTCTGTGCTCAGCTATTGCCGCTGCTTCTCCTCCTCCTTCGCCGTCGCTGCTACGTGCTGCTCCCTCCACAAGGTGCCTCCGGCGCTTCATCCTGTCTTCTCGCTTTATCCAAGCCCGACGGCTGCTGCTGCTGCAGGCACCGCCAGAGGAGCTGCCCTGCCACCGGCTCCGGCCCCCTGCAGCCGCCCTAGAAGGTCTGTGCCCGCGCAGGAGCGGGGACCCCCTGCCCTCCCCTCGGCCACCCCCCTCTGCCTGCACGTACCCACCACGCACACAGCTCCTTATAAGCTTTATGGCTGAGGTTGGCAGTGCGGGCTGAAGGCTGGCACAGAAAGGTGGAAAGAGCGTCCCTGTCTCTGCGTGTGCGGGCTGGGCATGCCAGCGCCGGCTTGCGGGCGTGTGGCCGACGAGGTGGAGGCAAAGCGCGGAGAGGAGCGCCCCGAGGGGCTGCTGGCTATCAAGGCCCCGGCAGGGCACGGGGGAGCCCTGCGGTGGCGGTGTCCCGGCCACGGTGGCTCCCTCCGGTAGGAAGCTCCAGGCAGAGCCTGGTGACAGCGCCCGGCGAACCTGCAGGCACGCTACTACTGCGGCTTTGGCAGGAGCTCTCTCTTCCGTCCCTTGTGTTTACAGCTGCCGGTGATGCTTTCTCCTCTTTCCAAGGTGTTTTTTTAATGCCTTTGATAGGTAGTGTTTTTTAGTTATTGTATTGTTTTTGTTTTTGTTTTTCCTGTGTCGTTTTCGTTTACGTTACTTTTTCTTCTTGAAAGAGGTAAGCGTTGTGCGCTGTGCGGTTTGGAAATGCTTTGGCTACGCTTTTGTAGGTCGAATTAGTGTGAGGTTGGTCTGGCATTGGTGAAAGACCATTTTTTTTTTGTTGTTGTTGTTGTTATGATTATTTTTTGATTAGAAGTGGTTTCTAAAGATCATTGAGAAAACCTTTAGTCCTGACACAGTCTGCTTGTGTCCCTGATGAGCCAGAGAGAGGACCTTCCCTCCGCCGCATCCAGGCTTCTGCACTCCTAAGTTTGTGAGATGAAAACAGAGTGTTTCTAGGTGGGCAAATTAATGCTTTGGCTGAGATGTTTTATATTTTGACAGAAAAATACGTATCGGAAATGGCAGACCTGCAGCAACAGTCAACTTTTAGATGCCTTTATGAGCTGATTAATTTCTGTTGCTCTTCAAAAGGATCAAAAGATGGCACTCCAAGCCCACACGACATTTCCATGACAAAAGTCAGTTTACGTTGAGTTTAGGCAATCCTTAAACTCGCTGTAGAGCACAGTAGGTGTGCTCAGGGACGCCTTTTTTCCCACACAGGACAGTGATATGATTTTGGAGCTTTCGGTATAATTTAATGCTAACCGTGGTATTTCTTGTGTTAGTGTCAGGGAATTGTTAACATTAATATTACTATTCTGTTTAGCCACTGGAAGTATCATTGGACTGAAAACATTGCTTAGTTTTTCTTCAGGCTCTTGGTGTTTTTATCTGCAGCACAGGCATTTGGCTCAGGCAAGTACATGCAGCTGCCTGGCAGAAAGTTCAGTGTCAGTAACTGAGAAATTCTTAGATCTCCATAGCATCTCCTCACTAAATGTGCCTTGCTGGTTAGTTCTCTAGATGGCAGAAGGATATTATTTCCCCCTTCAGCTGTTTCTGCAGACTAATGATTTATGTATGTTTCTCTTGTTTCGCTCTTGGCACCTTCCTGATAAAATCTGTTGCCTAATTGCTTTTGGAATTCTCTTTCCTCCAGCCTAATTATGATATGTGATGCATTTATGGACCTTATTCAAATAAATTACCCCTCCCCTACTTTCCACAACAGAAAAACCCAAACTTCATAAACACTTATATGCATATGTGATGAGGACTGTTTTTATTAACCTTTACTTAGACAAGGAAATAATCTGGAAGTTTTACTGGGGTAATATGGGAGTAATTTGAGGTGACCTAGAGCGTACAGTTATGCAGGTAGAGATGCTTACAATTGGGAACCACTAATTTGGCCTAATCCCACCATTTTTGCTAGATAACCCATAGTGATGGCAAGACTCTTTCACCTGTCTGCTTTTTATAGTGTATTTTAAATCTATTTTCTCTCAGGACATGTAAATGAATTATCAGATGTTGAAACATCGTGGCTAGACAGTTGTGTCAGGTTTCAGTTGTGTATTGCACACACTTCTGTATAATCTATTTCAGACCAAGAAATGAATAGCATATTTGTGAGCAGAACCCCTCAAAAAAAGTTTTATTAGTTTCCAAACTGCCTTGAGGGCACTAAAACACAGCTAAGTAAGTGCTTCAACAGTTATGAAAAAGGAGCCGAATAAAATCTCCAGCTGAAAGAGGCATTTAGTTGATCCAAGGCAGGAATGACCTCTGAATTAGCTATCATCTCACTCAGAGATGAAGTCATGGAGCTCCCTCCTGGCTCCTGCCTGTGCAGAGGCATGGATCTTCATTGCGCTTCCCTGATCAAGTTAACCCCAACTAGGTTAAAGCCGTGTGTGCTCACTGAGACTGGAAAGGGTTCAGCAACAAAAGGCACATTATTGCGAGACGAGACTCTCCAGTTAGTCATGCAGATCTGTCATCGTCTTGGAGAGCTTTCAAGTCTAGAGGTTTCAACCTGGTCCTGTGGGTGGGGCTGGGGATAAGGGAACAAAGTAAAATCCGTGGTTTGTCTTTTTTATGTCTCATGAATACACCCACACAATCCTCTAATCCACGCGTATCATTTCCTTCTCCTTTCTCCCCCCTATCGCTGCAGATTCATTCATGTTGTTGTGATCTGAAAGGGCAGAAATGAAGACAGCGCTCTGCTCAGCAGTCGCTGCTCTGTGTGCAGCCGCCCTCCTCTCCTCCATCGAGGCTGAAGGTAACCTCCCCCCCCTGCCCCCTTGCCCCCAGTGCCCTGCTGACCAGCAAACCTCCCACCCAGCCTTTGAGCTGCGGGCTCTCTCTCTGTTTTTGAGTGTAACTACCTTGCATTCTCTTTCTCTCCTTCAGAGAAATGCCTCTTCTTCCTTGCCCAGCTCCTTCTGTGCTCTGTTTCTCCCGGCTAGTCAGCCGGATGGTAGCTCCCTCTCTGTCTCTCTGGTGTGCTGTCCACACCACCTCACAGACAGGATATGGGCCACCTCGGTGCATTGCCCGAGGAGCCCACTGCCAGTGGACAGCTTGGCACTGCCGGGGCCTCCGGTGCTGCCCCTATGACGGATAGAGAATGGCCAGGCTCTGTGCTGTAGTCTCATTTAGTTATGTTGAGAGAGGAAACGGAAAACTCACCACCCAACAACCCACAGCTTTGAAATAAAATACTCCAACAGAGTCTGGCTCTCTGCGCCTGTGTGTTTTGTCCTGGTTGGAACCCCTGCCCTGCTGGCCTGCTGGCTCACCAGCCTCCCCAGCTTGGCAGGGCGACCCCCTGCTGAGCCCTGGGGTAGCTGGACCCTCCCTTGGGGTGGTTGGATCCTCCCTTGGGGTGGTTTGGCCTCCATGTTGGTTTTGACTAGGGGGACTGCCACCACCATGGCATATGGCCTGGGCACCACTGCAGGGTGCCTGTGCCTGGGCCAGGCCTTGCTGTAGCAGTCAGGGCCTCAAGGCTTTGGCATGTATGTGGTGCCATCACCCACAACGAGGCCTTTCTTCTTCTCTTTCTCCTTCTCCTCCTCCTTCTCCTCTTTTCAGTCTCTGGAGGTTGAGGTCTTTGTCAGCCCATGGCAGAGTCCTGCCTCTGGCTGCAGAGACCCACCATGGGTCTGGGGAGACCCATCAGGGACACTACACTCACTACAGCGTGGCTCAAAATGGCCTGGCCCTGGTGCGTTTTCCTTCCCAGTGGATTAACAGCATGTGTGCTGACAACCTCCCCAGTCACCATTTGTGTGAGCTGCCTGTATTTGGTCATAGTAACAGTGTTTCTGCCAGCAGTGGCTGCCAGGAGAAATAGAGATGCTGAACATCCTGTGCTGAAATGACTTGCTTGACCTTCGGGATGTGACCATCATAGGGTGAACAGAATCACTGGCTGTGAACTCCCTGGGATTTACTGGGAAAAAAACCAGAATCCAGCCAGCTGATAATTTTTCCCCCTTCCTTCTCTTTCTGTATTGAACCAGAACAAATTCTCTGATTATGGCCTGTGTTAAGCTTCTGTGTCTGGATTTGGTCACTTTGGCTGATGGCTTCTAAAAGCATGGTGTGTCAGAGATGTCTCTGGGGCATTTGCTCCCCCAACACTGGTACTTGCTTGGGGCATGCAGATGTAAAGTACAGTGGCTTTCTGGAAAAAGATGACATTTCTGCCAGCAGTGTAGCATCTGGTCACCCTAGGAGAGAATCAGCTTGCTGCCTTCCTCTTGAGCTGCATTATTGTTGGCTGAGGAACCAAAAAAGGTCATTTGAATTCATCTCAGAGTTGCATTTGCAGGACTGCCATGCCAGAGAAAGCAATGGACAGTTTTGATGGAGGAAGGGAGTGGATGTATTTGTATGTATTTCCCCATGTTAGGAGGGAGCTCACTCTGAACTGGAGTAATTTTGCTGTTGTTCTGCACCAGGGATTACATGTGTGGGGTAGGTTATTTCAAAATGTAAGTGAAGGTGTTTTATTTAGCTATAGTGTTGACTAAACCAGTCATAGCTTGAGTACTGTTAATGAAGCTACAAAAATGTATTTGGAGAAGCACACTGTTATTTAATAATGGCAAAAATAGATGCATTGCCAGACAAGATGGCCAAGCTTTAGCTCTGAGGTTGAAGGATGTGCCATTAGTAAATACAACTAATCTTGTGAGTTGTAGAGCGCTCCTGGATAGGGCCTGCATTACTCTGCATTCAGAACTGTCTATTAAGTAAAATATCTAGTTCACAGTGATCATTTTTTTATGAGAAACTTCTTCCAGCTTCAGAATCTTGAAGTAAGAACAGAAAAATGTCTTGATCAGGAAGTGCAGTGAGAAATAGTGGTGCTGAAAATGGAAATTCAAAGCTAGGAGTAGCTTAGAATTTACTCTGGTGGAAATTGCTTTTGTAAAGATTTTTTTGCAGTGTGCTTTTTGTTTGCATCATACTGGTCGTTCTCCTGCACAGTTTTAATTTTGTACTTCAATTTTACATCAACTTGTAAACTGCATGTTGTATATTATTTAGTTTAATTCTGGTATCATTACAGCTTAAATGCTGTCTGCTGAACTGACATTCTTCTGCGGACATTTGTCCTTTAGTCTATGTTTCCAATGTTCAGATTACATTATAGCAAATCTCTATCCCACCAGTCAGTTTTCTCTCCCTCTCTCCCCCTCTCCGTCTTGCTGTCCCCTCCACTTCTCTCTCATTTTGTTCCTTTGACTTTCCCTATGGTGTTCACAAGAGATGCAGTTTGAATTTTCTTTCCCTAGGGTGTGGGCAGACATTTGGTAGGATGAAAAAGTGAGAGGAGATAAGGCAGAGGGCCTTTTGATGTGGTAAAGATTGTTGATATAGGGTGGGAAGAAGGAGTGAAAGCAGAGGGAAGGAAAATGTTAGTTCTATTTTTCTGTCTTCCTTCAGCTTTCATTTTTTGGTCTATCCTGGGGGTAGATCTGGTGTTTATCTGATACTGCTGTTCATAGATTCCTAAATCTTCCAGGATGAAACTGTTTCTTCATCAGCATCACAGCTGCTCTGTGAGTACTTCATGAGAGCTGTGCTCTGTTGCTGTTGGCAAGGCAATGAGCTACAGTAATGGTGTCAGAGCTTTTTACACAGCAGCACAGGGGTTTCTAGCTGGACAATCACTGTAGCAGTATAGGATGTAAAAACAACATACAGCCTAAATGCATTCATGGCATTTCACTGGGGAAGCTGTTTGTTTACCCTGCCCACAGGGAAGCAAATCTGTTTTCATGCTCAGCATTTTTGCTCTTTTACAGTGAAATTCTTCTTGTTTTATTTTGCAATCCTTCTGACATCTCTGAGCTTAAACTTCTTGTGTATGATGCTATATTTTATGCTGTGTTTAAAGTGTTTTTTGCCTTTTTAGTCCTACACCATAATACTCCAGTGCATTCCCTGTGTGTCCTCATGTCAAATTTTCTTTCTGTCGCATTATTTTTTCCATCTGTGTTCACAAAAGCCAGGGGAAAATCTATGTCCTTTCACTAGATAAGATTTCTTTTCATTATTTTAGTCATAGTTAAGCCAGGTAGATTAGTATGTGAATAGCTTGTTCGTTATAATCTCAAGGTAATGCTGTGATGATGTCGTGGCTTGTGTAGTACCTTGCATTTCCCATTAATGGGATTTTAAAAGGCAAGGAATGAGGAAATCGTTGATTCTGTGTGACCCCACTGAGGCTGTGAAGGTGCTGACTTTTCAATGTAACAAAGGTTCTCATTGTTAAATGAGAAAAAGTTTGTCATGTAACAAAGCTTGTGTTGAGTACATTAATTTTCATTGACTGAATGGTTTAGAGATGATCCAGGATAGCTGAAACTTTTGAAGTTAACTACGTATTTGCTTTGGGACTGGTTGGTGGCACCATTATTTTGTTACCTTTTGATGTCTGATTTCTATCTTTTGAGAAAGTAGTTGTTGATTTCCAAGTTCCCAAGGAGAGAATCAGATAGATTGATGTGTGAAATTGAAATCTGTATATACATAAGGGTGACTATAGGTCCTTGTTTTTCCCACTGCTAGTTAGAAGAAAAGTTTACATGTGTGTATGTTTAGACACACACATGCACACACACGCACATACCTATATATGCACAGTGTGCATAAAAGTTGGTATATATTTTTGCATGCGGTTTGTGTGTATGAATGCAGTTATGTTTAGTTATGTAAATATAGTTAGAAATACATATATTTAAATGATTTTTTTCAAAATACACTTATGAGCTATATGACAAAATTTCATATACATGTATAAAATTAAAAAATGCAAACATAGAGGTGACAATGCTGCTGTGTTGTGATTGAAATGAATATCTAACAAGGCTGAGAGTCTGTTCTTGACTAAGTACCTAGGCAATAGCTCATTCTTTTTCCTATTCAGATTGGCAGCATTGGCTTTAAAGGAGCTTGCTGAGGGGTTGATCTCGTTACTTGTGTCAAATCCGTGCTATTTATTAAATAATATTTATTAAATAATATATAAGGACTTTGGCTTCTTCCAGCCTCAGCAGGGCTTATCTTAGTGAGAGCAAGGCTGAGATTGTTGTGTAGCTTCCGTGGCCTGTATGTTATGTTAACATGGGCTAACATATTATTTCACATGCTAATTGTAAGGAGTCTTTTCCAGTGATGGAATTACAGACTTTTTTTCACATAGGGATTGTTGATGGTAGCTCCTCCCAGTTACAACACTTTGAAGTCTGTTTATAGACGTGTATATTTAAATTGCTTGATCTTCTGATTATGTTTTACTTTCTCTTACGAAGATATTAATTAGGATCCTCTGGCAGTCGCATTATACTAACTGTAAAAATCTGTAGATTAGGTTTGTATTGTATACAAGCTAGTATAAGACATACATAGCATGAGGAAGATGCCTTGCTCTATGTTTTCAGTTTGAGAAAAGATACTGTTATTATACATGTATATAATACCAGGAGCGGCAATGAATTAAGTATGTTATGTTTGATATTTT